TTACAGAGAGCTGCACGGGGCTAGGCACAATGGCATCATCTGAGGAATGACAAAAAATAATAGTTAAGAAAAAATATTAAAACAAGTAGGCCTATGTTTTATAAAATTATTACTAAAGAGTGCAATTCCATTTTTACTAAAAAAAATCAATTGAGGGTTTTCAAAAGGGCTCAAATTTATAGAAAACTGCTTTAAGAATATTCTGAATCATACTTTTACACTTAAAATGAGCAAGTGTTTAGGGAGAGCCATTACCAAACTAACACTGGAGGTAAGCTAGTGAGTGATGGTGAATGTCCTTTATGTAGCTTTAAGTTGAGTGAGACTACAGAATCTTTATTTTGATGAAGCCATACTTATTTATACTCTCTAAAGTATGCACTGAATGTGGATTTATGTATAAAGATTAATTTGCATGTATTACTTAGATATAAAATACTAATAAAATTTGTGACCAATATAATATGATTCAAAAGATTTGGCAAATGAATGGGCATGAATAATTTTTTTAAACTAATACCTTCAGATTGGCTTAGGACAGGTTGGCTTATGGCAGGCCATCTGTTGCAGATTGGCTAGTAATAGTATCAGACTGAGTTGTAGCAGACTGACTTGTAGCAGGCTGGTTTCTTGAAGGATGGCTTGTAGCAGGCTGACTTGTAGCAGGCTGATTTCTAGAAAGATGGCTCGTAGCAGGCTGACTTGAAGCAGACAGGTTTTCGACAGAATTGTTTGTAGCAGACTGGCTGATAGCAGAACAGTTTCTGGCAAGGTGGTTTCTAGCAGGCCGGTTTGTAGCAGATAGACTTGTATCAAGCTAGACAACAACAATGACAGATAGCATAAACTGTAAAACAATTTTTTTGGAGAAGTGACCTTCATACACATTTAAATACATCTATACTATAAGCTTCTTTCCCAATGCACTACCCCAAGGGTACATCATGATTTTTTCCTTGGGTTAAAGACAGGAAAGGTCTGTTATTTTATACGAGGCCAGTCATGGCAAAATGGTTAAATTGTCGAACAGGCCAGTATTGAGTAAATGAGTTTTAAAATATTTGAGATCAAAACAATTCCTAAAAATCAACTTACTATAGTATAAATCAACAGTTTAATATCTTAATAAACATGTCCCAAGGTATTGGAAACATTAAACAATGTATGCACAAATAACTTTGGAAGGGAATTACTCAAATTATATTTACTCTAAGAGTGCGGTACTTTTACTTTCCAATAAGTTAGGTTTGAAATGTCCAATTTCAATGAATGACCCCTAATTTTAAAGATCACACACTCAGGTATCTATCTGATAACATTAACTTGAATTTCAATGTTTGCTACAATAGCCATTTTGCCATGACCTGCCTCATATGTGAGGGGTCTACTTCAATTTGTTTCTTGCCTAAGTAAATACAGTAGCATATTATATTTTGAATTTCTGACTCACAATCTGTTAGTTGAGTCCGAGTTCTTTTTTAGAATCTTAGGAAAGTAGAGGTTTATTGCATTGTGAATTTGGGAAAAGTTTAAATTGAACAAAAGGTTTGTTTTACACGCAAATGATGATGAAGCTCCATAATCTGAATCATAATATGGCCGTTTTCGTGTATTTGTTATTGCCTTATTGACATCCATATCAAAAGCACATTTTTCACACTTGTTGTGATAGGCATAGGCCTAGACAGCTCTATACCACAAAATCTACAATAATGCATCACTTTTACTTCTTGAATGAATTTAGGACTACGGGCTAGTTTGCTCTCTCCTACTATAGCCTAGGCCTAGCCTAGAAAGTTGCCATTTTTCAAAACCAATTCCGTCTCTCTCTTGAGTTGACGTGCGCGAGCGCCCAAACTCTACTTGTTCGTTGGTGGCGCACCACTTTTCTATGAAAGGCCGCCGTTAATCTATCCTGGATGGCTTGTGCGAGTACAACTGTTACTAGGTGATATATAAATCAGACCCGACTGTCGGTTTCATAGACGATTAGAGAAAATAATGTTGAAATTATTGCCGCAATTCAATGATTTACTATTGTATTTGGTTCGTTAAGATTATAAAGAAATTTTAGCACTTTTGGTTAATTTTGAATAATAGTATATTATAAGTAATCATATTTTCAATAAAAATGTTTGATGTATTTAAGAAATCATTGCATGTGATTGATATTTAATTTACTATCTCGGCCAGGTTTTGGCACACCATACGCCCACAAATTGCTTGAAGAGAGAGTCATTATTTGTTTGCAGCGTTTCTGTTTAGTTTGCAGCGCGTTCTCTTTTTTGTTTGCAGCGTTTCTGTTTTGGTTTGCAGCGTTTCTGTTTTTGTTTGCAGCGCGTTTCTTTCTTTTGCAGCGCGTTTTCTTTTCTGTTTGCATCATTTCTTTTTTGTTTGCAGCATTTCTTATTTGTTTGCAGCATTTCTTTGTCATGTCATGTAACATTCATCAGGTGAACTCACTAGATAATCTTGATAATTTTTTTTTCTTTTTTGGGGGTTGGGAGGGGGCATGGCATAAGGGGGTGTCTGGTAGATACACCACACTCAAAAATGTTGGCAGTGGCCATTCGTGATACCTGGTGCTATGCCAATTTTTTGCAATGCGTTTGATTTACCCATCTCTCACAAGCTGATCTATGTTTTTTTTTTTTTGGTGGGGTGGGGGGAGCGCAGGGTATAAGGGGGTGTCTGGCGGGTACACCCCACCACTAAAAATGTCTGGTAGTGGCCACTCATGATACCTGGTACTATGCCGAACATTTTCCAGTAGGTTTTATCGGGTTAACTCACAAACTAATCTAGGTCAATTTTCGGGGGCGGGCTATAAGGGGGTGTATGGCAGGTACACCCCACCATTAAAAATGTCTTGCAGTGGCCATTTCTGATACCTGGTACTATGCCGAACATTTTCTAGTAGGTTTTATCGGGTTAACTCACAAGCTGATCTAGGTCAATTTTGTTGGGCGGAGTATTTGGGGGTGTCTGGCAGGTATACCCCACCATTAAAAATGTCTGGCAGTGACCATTCCTGATACCTGGTACTATGCCCAACATTTTCCAGTAGGTTTCATCGGGTTAACTCACAAGCTGATCTAGCTTAATTTTGGGGTACCGGTTTTTTGCGTCTGGCACCCACTCCCCACCATTGGAAATGTCTGGCATTGTCCATTCGTGATATCTTGAACTATGCCGAATATATTCTGATAGGTTTCATTGGGTTAATTCACAAGTTGATCTAGCTCAATTTTTGGGGCCATTTTTATGCCCCTCCTGACCACACCCACCACAATGGGACCGGCAGATGCCCATTCTCCTACATAGACAGGCTCATAGAACATTAATATATACACAAAAATTGGTTAACTTTCCAGCTATGCTGACACCCCTGGGCTCCTGCTCTATAAAGTATTAGTTTATAATGAAGCCAGACTGCTACACTAGTCCGTTATGTATGGTAAACTAGGCCCAGGCCTAGTTCTAGCGAGGGCCTGAGTCGACGACGTACGAGTAAAATTGTCGCTTCACCGGCGGGCCAATGATAAATCAACATACCAGGCCTAGCTATAAAACGGAAACTGACGGGAAGACTCGAAATGAAACGTCAAAACTAAGTTTTCATCTAGCGTAACAATAACAATAATTAATAATACTATCTAATAGTAACACATGGAAATCAGTAGCTCACTAGGACTAAAATTATCAAATTTAGTGAAATCAAACACGGTCTACCTACAGAGGACATTTGTTTGTCATCACACATAAAAAAAAAAGGGGGAGGCAAGTACCTAACCAGCGTGACCACTCACAATTTTTGATTTACCCAATGACTGAGTCGAAATTACCCAAGATTCAGCAAAAATTGTCCAAAATTACCCAAGCTTCCAGAAAATGCATTTAAATTTGAAAAAAACGTGTTTTTCGCATGTACAGTTTCCCTTTTAGTTCAATTTATAAACCATTTTTTATTGTACAGTAATTGTTTGTGTTAATTATTAAAATTAATATTCATGAGGTGATAATACGAATAGAAAAATACGCCCTCAGTCGGCCAGTGTTATCAGTAGATCAGTGATCAAGTGGATTATGTAATGCATTAATTAGGTAAGATCAATGGCAACGCAAATCACAAATTCAACAATTCTGAACCCATGTTTATAGCAATTAACAGTCAATTAACAATGTTATATGCACTTCGTTGAGTTTCGCTTACTTGAATGGACTGAAATATACTTTATTTAATTTTCTTAGTAAAAATAAAATACCCAAGGATTTGAACGGAATACCCAAGAACCCAAGACCAAGTCAAAATACCCAAGATCTTGGGTAAATACCCAAGCAGTGGTCACACTGTAACTAACGTATAAAGCTAAAAGGATTCGCTGAGCGTCCATAATATTGCGGCTAGTAATCAGCGCAGTGTTGGAACCTACTAGGTACCCACTTGTACCCCTGGGAGGAGAGAGGCAACCGTAGAGTGCCTTTCCCAAAAACACAAGCGATTTTCACAGCGAGAGTTTTGAACCCCCGACCTTGAGGTTGGGAGTCCAAGCCACAACCGATGCGCCAACCACTTCTACAAATATATGTATATATATACATATATATCTGTCTCTTATACACATCTAGATGTGTATAAGAGACAGGCGTTTGATCGTGTTAACTCACAAGCTGATCTATGTTATTTTTTGGGGGGAGGGCAGGGTATAAGCGGGTGTCTGGCGGGTACACCCCACCACTAAAAATGTCTGGCAGTGGCCACTCATGATACCTGGTACTATGCCAAACATTTTCCAGTAGGTTACCTTAGGTATATTTTTTTTTTTTATATATATTTATATTTATATGTTAGGTTTTATTACCACTTGTAATTGTACTACTAATTGTGTAGGTTAAAACTTTATTACTACACCCAGATCTTCATTTTACAAGCTCATTAAGTTTCATGAAGGTCATTTTCCTTCTTATGCACTTTTTAAAAGTTTTATTTATTTTGAACATTACTATCAATACTAATTAATCATTGTTACACATTACAATTACAATTACTATTTACATTATTGATAAGCCCACTCAATGCCTTAATACAATTCAGATGTTCAATTTTTCAAGAGCGTTTGCAAATTTTAATATCTGAACTAGACTCATCCCGAAGTCCAATTTCAATTGTGAATAGAAGAATTCAGGGGCTTTCTTTGAAAATTTCACCATTTGCAAAAGAATTTCTCCGTTCACATCTTTCATACAACTGTTGTAGTCTGACATGAGGTTGTCTTTTAACCACTTTTCAACGTCGTCTGTAGTCCAATTAATTACACTTGTGTGCCGGCCGTCCACGTCATCGCTTGGCACATTCTTCCCCGAAAAAACATGTGTTTCAGATACAGGAATAACAATATCTGGAATGTAATTGTAAATATTATAACTAAAAAGTTCGTTTGGATTTAAATTCGAATCTCTGGTTTTGCAGTCAGCAGAATTTATATATATATTTTCGAAATTACAACATGTGACATACAATAACTATGCCTTATTGATCTATTTTTCCAATATTTTCATGATAACGTGCAATCAGTCTTCATCATGTTCACAAAACAGTGTAAGTAAGAAGTTCCTTACATAATGCTCACTTCAATGAGGGTAACCAAGTCGGTAAGCCTATACTGTGACGTCAAAAATAACGTTTTATGTTGTGTTTTTTTAAATTGTAACGCGTTACAGTACGGGCGAAAATATTGCACAAGAGATGAGCAGATTATTATACGAATTTCACCATGGAATATTTGTTTATTGTTTTGTTTTTAATTTGGTTGTATGGATTTTATTGGAATACATTGAATTTATGTTGTGGATATTTATCTACCGCAATAGTCTGCCCCTTAAAAATGAAACAATTTTGGGTCTCCCTACAGTTTGTCCTCAAACCAATATTGTTAGATTTTCCTAAAATTACTTTGAATGTTTTTGTTGTCAGAGAAATAACAATGTACCTTCTGAAAGTGCTCTATTTCCGATTTCCTTCTGGATATTTCGAAATTCATTTCCAACGGAGGATTCACAAGTGAGTTTGAAGTACTTTAAAGTGCCGATGAGGTCGCCCAACCAACCATCCTCTACATAGTTTGATTCGACAATGAGTTGTATAATAGGCTTTTGGTTTTTATATGCATATGTAGCTTCTGCAAAGACGAAATATTTTTCATAAGATACCATAATAAATCATAGCATTAAAGATGTGTGATTTTGAAAGTCACTGTAGCTCTCTCAAAGCCACTTTTGTAAATATAATCTTAAAAGGCTCCGTTAGTTGGGCACAGGTTCCTACTACTTTTTTAAATAAGTTAGGACCAGATAATATGATTTTTTAAATGAATTAGGCAAAATAAAAAATACCCCAAATTTAAATTTAAATCAGATCCCATTATTTTATTGCCAGGTTATTTTAGCATGGTATTCATCATGCAGGTATAAACACCTATATCAGCGGAAGATATAAAGAGTGAAGTTATACGGGGAAATCATGTATTTAAAAAAGGCAAATATAATTCTTTACCTTATTCAAAACACTGGGTTAATTCAGAAATAATACATATCAATGATCTTTTAAATAAAGATGGCATATTATGCCAATATTATATTTAAAACAAACTTAAATCTTCGGCAAATTGTTTAATTGAATTAAAAACAATAACTGAATCTATTCCGGTTTCATGGGAAGAAAAAGGAAGAAAAAAATACGTGAAAATCTATAAAAACTAGATTGTATACGTTAAAAAAATAAACAAAATATACAGGTGCTTAAGACAAAAGATGTTTATCCTTCAACTAATATCGAAAAAATCTGTAAAATCTCACATTGAAAATAAGTGAGAAAATAAATTAAACATCAAGATAAATTGGCATAAAGTATGGCTGTTAAACTTATTAGGATTAAAGGAAGATTACTAATGGATTTTAGTTATAAATTTATTTTTAATCTCATACTATGTCGAAAAAACGTATTTAAATGGAAACGTATTGATTAGTCTCTGTGTAAAATACGCAAAATTGAAGACGATTCCAAACACATGTTATTTCATGTAAAGAGATTAAAGATTTTTGGAATCAGTTTAATTAATTTTTACATAAACTGGACCTCTCAAATGTTGTTATTACATTACGTTCACTTATTGTAGTTGACCATTTAAAACGTCATGATTACTTTTAAATTAATTATATATTAGTTCTTGCCTCATTCACAATTTTTAGATTTAGAATGAAGTATTATGATTGTTCATCAAAACCAGATTTATTCAATATTTCTTTAATGAATTAGAATGGCTGTATATTTGGAGTTTCTTAATTATTTTGATAGATATTTAAGTTATAGAAAAATGGAAAGGAAGGTTAAAAAACGAAAAAGAAAGAGGAAACCTGAAAATGTTTTGCTTTTTTGGCAGTGGTAAAAAAATTCTAGACATATATAGTCCTATATCGTTGTTGAATAAAAGTGGGTGAAATGTCCACAACGGAGGAAAAAAATTGAATCATATATAATAATAAATAAAATAAATCTTATCATAGATCATAATAATAGTTCTACTCTAGACCGAGAAATTCTTCGTGATTCTGGAACTTTCAAATGCCAGAGATCCTGAGCTCAATCTTTGTAAAATTTACTTAAAAAACGAATTACAATCTCAAAAATAGATAGAACACTGATACAGGACATTAAGCTATTATTTTGAAAATTATTAAATATCCGTGTACAGAACGTTGAGTTAAAAATATTGAGTTATAGACGACAAATATCGCCCTCTGTGTAACATCTTTATAATATCATAAATCAATATTTTTAATAATATGAATGCGATGGTTGAAGTTTTGAAGTTTCAAGTTTCTTTTATTTCAGTACAAAATGACATCAGACCCATTTCACAAAATAAAATCAATATAATTATCAGACACACAGGCATTTATTTTTTAAATGATTTCTTTTCTAAATAAATTGCTCAATTCTCTGGATCTAGATTAATTATACTTTATTACAAATGCATATTTTCAAGGAATGTACATTTAAGTTATGTATATATTTCTTTCTAATACTTTTATAAAATGGTAAAGGTAGGAGAATCACTCATAACTTGCAGTGTCATTGTGCTGAATTGCTTATGGGCGTGGCTCGTGACTAGCAGCCGTAAAGAGGCGCTTCTTGGTAGATACATGTTCACATAATTCCACAACGACAGGAGGGGCTGAAATGAACCATAATATCGGGGTAACCCCCTACTCTTCCGAAAGATGCAATGGGTTCTTTAAAGTGCACAAGGGCCAGATTTATACACTGGTCCTCCATTTTAAGTCCTTATCCGAGAAGACTTGGTTCTACCAACCGAACCATGGGCGAGGAGCGGCTGGAAACAGCGCCGATGTTAAGGCTGTAGCTAGCGGCGCCCCTGCCTTACTGCTCGACCACTCGACTCGCCCGCAATGGACAAACAGGAAAAATTTTTATCTTCTAAATTTGAAGAGTCGGGAAAAATAAACAAATTCTATTTTACCTTGTCAATCAATAAATTATGGCAAGATACCCTAAAGCGTTAAATATTGTTGTATTCTGTACCTCGGATTTAAATTATAAACATAATTTTCACATATATTTTCTTGCTTAATAATATTGTTATAAAAGTGAAGTGAATTATATTATTTCTCCTCCGTTTTGAAGTGCTACATCTTCTTTGTAAAAAATTGGTACAATGCTATCATCAACAATTTCCACACACACCTAAAGCCAAAATTATCTAATATGTTTTATATTTCAAATGCCCAACAGTTTTGCCCTTTTCTGCCCAATATCTCTGTCTGTGATAGTTAATACTTAGTAGTCTATTATTTTCCATGTTGTTTATTTTTATAGATCATAAATAATGTCACCAAAATTTCGTATAAGTAAAAACACCACAAGGCACTTTATAAAGCAAGTAATAGACTTTAATGGTGACCACGGACTCATTGAGCCCGATCGTATAGCAAACATGTTTCGAGAAAACGATTCTCATCAGAGCGAAGATGACAAATTTTGCCAAAGCTTATATGGATTTATACACATGTATGTAAATAAGCAAACTAGAAAAGCGACTAATGAAGCAAACCACAAAACGTAGACACCACCCGTCACTGCGGATTGTTATGTAAATTAGTACATAAGAATCAAACAGCGAACGTGATATTCAAGTTGTAAATTTGCTTATTAAGGGATGGATTGTTTCAGATAATATGCAAAGCTTCCTTAACTTTGAGTTTATAAGCTGAATCTGCAGATTCAAGAACGGTGAAACATCTCTCATTAGCAAGATCCCGACAGCGTTCTGAAGCCTGCAAATGTTGAAAAATATGAGAATTCCCGTCCCTGAAGTGTTCTTGCACTCGTGTTGAAAGTCTTCTATTGGTTTCTCCAATATACGTGGAATTACATCCCACACAAGTAAATTTGTATACAACACGAGCACGGAACATTTCGGGAACGGGGTCCTTCACTCCTAGAAAATTGGAAATTTTGAACGATTTAAAAGCCAGCTTAATTGCAATTCCATGACAATATTTACTAGTAATTTTGTTAATTCTGCTTTGCGTATTACGTGCAAACTGTAAATATGGCAATTTAAAATAGCAAGCATTAACATTAACATTATTATTGTCTTTAGGGGTCTCTTTAGAACCAGAACAAAGGACGTGAGCATCACTTATTTTTATCCAGTTTATTATTTCTTAAAATGTGGTAATATTTCATTTTATATCTGTAATTATCATCAGAGAATCCATGGAATATTTTTCGTTTGAATAAGTCCGATTTATCTAGCTGCTTGTAAAATCTTATAGACTGTTCAATAAATCCTGACGCACATAGTTTATCAATTATCAATTTGCGATAGATTTTGAACTTATCATTAAAAAACCAACCTCCACATGTCTTGAATAGGATATACATACTTTTGTTCGCAGCAACATGGGACTTGCTAAGTTTCAGTATAGCGCCCTCTAATTCTAACATGAGGTTGTTAAATTTATCTTGAAATTTGGAAGGGACCTCTTTTGCTGATGGCGGCAAAGTTAATTCGTGGAGTTATGGTTATGGTTATGGTTTTATAGAGTTCAATTATTGAATTTAATTCCTTTTGATGATTTGCAGCGGCCATTTTGTACGTTACAAATTGCTTCGAAGTGCTTCAAATCTGTCAAAAACATCGCATTATAATTACATGATATAAATATGTTAGCAATAGGAACCAAAACAAATTTGATCTGAGGTTACGTTATACACGAGGGAATGCATATACTGCACTGTAATAAAGAATATAGATAGAGGAAGAACGAGCAGTGAGCGTATTTTGCATTACAGAATTGTAACGCTTTTTACAGTACAGGAGGTGCGTCATATCATGCGAGTCAAGCCCGCTCGCGGCAGTGTGTGAACTGCATATGCAGATAATAATATTTACAGGTAATAAGGTGGGGGTGGGCTGCTTGCGATGCCATTTTCGACTTGCAGAGGACGGCCTTTTCTAAATGTATATAAGCCTATGTTTGCATCAATTGCCTGTTATGTCCTATTATCTAATAACCTAACATTACATGATCTGCTGTTGAAATTTCATTGTTATTTCATAATGGCTTGTTTATATAATGTAGGCCTATACACTTGTCAATAACGAATTTTCACTTGTATTTGTAACGGGATAGCGGCCTATTTTATCATAGTACTGTAGTTTCGACCATGATACTGCATACTGAAATACATTCATACAGGGAGAAAACTAATACAGTACAGTACTGCACTGGGGTGGATGCAGGTTGAGGGTGGGGTGCAGACGGAGCAATCGCACTCTTGAACGTGTATTAAGAAAAATAATTGTTTTATTTTATCGTTGATATGAATTATCAGTAAGATTTTTTTAGGTGCGAGAGTGAAATTTCCGGGCACCTAGAGTTCTATATTCTCATAATTTTTGCACCTCAGCTCCAACTATGGTGGGGCGGAGGTCTGGTGTCGACTCTCACGCACCCAATACCGCCAATCCAGCATCCTTATGTGTATCTTCCCAGTTGGTTGAAATCCAGTTTGTCGAAACCCGGTTTGTCGAATTTAACTCATTACCGAAAACCCAGTTTGTCGAATCCAGTTCACCGAAAACATGAAATCCCAGTTGGCCAAAACCCGGTTTGCCGAAGCCAGT